ACCTGGGCGTGGCCGGGAACGTGGCACACCTGGGCGTGGCCATGCCGGGGCGTGGCCATGTGGGGGCGTGGTCAGGGAGAAGGGTGGGCGTGGCTGGGCGGGGTGGGGTCAGGATTGGGGCCGGCCAGCGCCGTCTCCCGCCTCCTCTGCCCGCAGGCCAGTCTGCTCTCCCACCGGGTGCCCCTGGAGCTGGCGCTGGATGCCGTGCTGGGACAGGCCCCCTGGAGCGACCTGCTCCTCTGGGCGCTGCTGCTCAACAGGGCGCAGATGGCCTTGTACTTCTGGGAGATGGTGAGCGCCGGCCTCCGTCTCTGCTACTTCTCTCGCCTACATCCTGCCTTTGCTTCTCTGGGAGTTCAGTGCTGGCTTAAAAAGGTTCCCTGACCTCCGACCTGACTTCAGTGCCACCCTGCCCTCCACTCTGGGCATGATGCCAGCTGCTGCTCCTTCCTCCTCTGACCCCATCACAGGGTGCTCGTAATTTGTCTTTCCATTGACAGCATATATTGGGCACAGTCCCTTGTCCATACACATGAATAACCCCATTTCCCCAAAAGGGTCACATAGGTGAGCAAGTTCTACGTTATCCTGACGGGAGCCATTCAAAGGTAGTTACACTTGCAGTTTAGGTACAGGGCTGGAAAAGGGGCAAGCTGGGGGCAGGGAGGCGAGCACTGAGGCCCTCGGGCAGCCCGGGGAGGGCACATGGACGTGCTGGGGTGCGCTGAGGAGTCAGAAAAGTCTGAATCGGGTCTGACAGGGCCCTTGGTGCCGTGGAGCTATCCCATGAGGCTGTGCATATTCCCTTTATTATTACTATTATTGAAGGTTTATTTATTTGTGCATACAGAGCTGGGGAACAGGCCAGGGAGCAGGGGTGAGAGGCTTCACCAGAGACAGTGGGGAGCAGAACAGGCAGCTCGACTGAAGCACACTGCTGAGGGGAGCAGCGGGGAGACAGGAGAGACAGCAGAGGTCTGCTGCGCCCTGGGGGTCCCTCCCTGCTGGACCAAACTCCTGCCATAGCTTCACGCTGCACTTAACCCCTTGTGGCACCAGGGAGGGCCCAATTCTGGGTTTACTTTTTTGAGGTTCTGCTGAACAGATTTCTAGTGACTAAACCATTTTACCTTCCCACCAGCAACTCGCAAGGTTCCAGTTTTTCCACACCTTTACTAACAATTGTTATTTTGTTCTAATACTTTCCAACCTAATGGGGGTGCAGTGGTATCTCGTTGGTTTACTTTGCATTTCCTTACTGATGAGTGATGTTGGGCTTCTGTTTGCCTGCGGATGGTCTCTGTATGTATCTTTGGAGAAATTTCTTTCGCCCACTTTTAAATTGGGTTGTTTCATCTCTGTTGTCAAATTGTAAGAGCTCTTTGTATATGCTGGCTACACATCCGCACCCCAGGGACCCCCTATCGGATACATGAGTTGTTAAGTATTGGTTCTCATTTTGTGGGTTGTCTTTCCATTCTGTTGATAATGTCCTTTGATGCACAAAAACTTTAACTTTTGATGAAGTCCAAATTGTCTATTTTTGCTTCTGTTGTTTATGCTTTTGATGTCATATCTAAGTAACAAATCCATTGCCAGTATCCCATGTCATGAAGTTTATCCTTACATATTAGAGTTTAATAATTAGGTGCTTTTTTAAAATACTTTATTTTTATATCATATTTGTACATTTTTCCCCCATCTCGATTGTAATCCCCGTGGGTTTCCCATCACCAAGTCACCCTGTGCCATCACCATGGTCCAGTGAGCTCCCCTCCCCCCGTTTTTGATCCCACACCCCACTCCACCCCCACAGAATGTCTCTGGTATATGGCTGTCCATTATTATTTTCTCACCTGGTCCATTATACTCCTGCTATGAGCGATATAATTAGGTGTTTTAATTTGCACATCAATCTGTTGCAATTTGTGTGTCCGATAAGTGACTTCTCTCTTGCTGTTTCAAGATTCTCTCTTGTTTTGGGTTTTCAACAATTTACTTATAGCATATCTCAGCATGGGTATCTCTGAGTTGACCTTACTTGGAATTACCTGGTCTTGGGGAGTTTGAGGTCATTATAGCTTCAAATAGTTTCCCCCTTCTCTCCTTCTATTATTATACATACATTATTCATACATTGGTTTTCTAAATGGTGTTCTAGTGATCTCTTAGGGCTTATTTTTCTCCCATTCATTTTTTGATTCTGTACCTCAAACTAGATGATCTCAGTTGTCTATTTTCAAGTTGACCAGGGGTTGCCTACTCAACCCCTCTGGTGAAATTTTCAGTTCAGTTACTGTGCTTTCCAGCTCCAGAATTTCCATTTGGCTCCTTTTTATAATTGCTCTTTATTCATATCTTCTACTTCATAAGGCATCATTTTCCTGGCTTTCTTTAGTTCTTTGTCTACAACTTCCTTTAGCTCTTTGAGCCTATTTAAGAAAGTGGATTTAAAGTCTTTATCTAGTAAGGATAACACCAGAGGTTTCCCAGGGACATTTGCTATGAATTCCTCTTTTTCCTGTGAGTGGGCAAATTTTTTTTTTTTTTTCATTTCTCTGCACGCCACCTAATTTTCTGTTGAAAAGTAACAGCTGACAGTAGTCTAATATTGCAGCTCTGGAGATGAGCTCCCCTCCCTTCCCGGCTTGTTGTTGGGCTCTTGCCGTTTGGTTAGTGATGTTTGTAAGCTACTTTTGTCAGGTTTGTGTTCTCTGTCAGTGAGGCCACTGACCTTCTGTTCTGTTAGCTGGCTGGCCCGCTGGTGACCTGAAAGAGGCTTCCTTATATGCCTGATGGGAAAAAAAACCCAAACGTTGCCAGTTGCAGCTTTTTTGTGAGGAACAGTAGCCAACTTTCTAATTGTTCATTTCCTACATTTGAAATATTCTTCGAGGCCTCCTTGGCGTGAGCCACTTTGCCATCGCCTGTAACTACCACCCAACGGCCACCAGCCGTTTTGCAGGGTTCCCTTCCCTGTCAGTGACAGCGGCCTACCCCGGCCCTGGGCGTCTGTTGTCATCACCGTTCAGCTGACATGGTATTTGCCACGGAGGGGTCTCGCCGCCCGGACAGCCACAGGCTCATCTCAGGTGGACGCCGGCCCACGAAGGTGGCTTAGTGCCGGCTGGCCGAAGGCCTTCTCGGCCGACTTTTACACAGGCCATTTACGATTCTGCCTTAAGTCTTCTAGTTCCACCTTGGCAGGCCCTATGTCAGCCAGAGGCCACGGCTTGGGGTCTGAGGGCACACCCGGTCTTGGCCAGCCGCTTTCTAGACTTCCTGGTACATAAACCCGCTCTCAGACCCTTTATTCCCAAGTATCTCCTTCCTGAGCCATTTCCCTTCCCAAGTTGCTCCGCGTAGCATTTGTTTGTTATTCTTTTCCCCAGACAGCCGAGGGGAATACATTTGTCTTTAAATGCTTCGAACACTTGGGAAATCACTTCTGCTCTGGGGAAGTGCCAGGAACAGCCCGCCAGGCCTGCGTGTGCCCTGCTCTTTCAGGGAGTCGCCGGCCAGCTCCCCACACCTGGCCACAGTTACTTAAGAGCCCTGAACGGCCCCCGCTGGGGTCACCAGAGGTGCGGTTGCCTTCCTGACCGAGCCGGGAGCTGGACGCGGGCAGCTTCCCTCGCTGAGCGCGCGCCTGTTTTTACATACTAAATTCCAGTTTTTCGCGGGGACAGGTCTGGAAGTTCTCTGCGTGGCCATGTTAGGGGACGGCCCCGTGGTGTCTTTTCTGCTCTGGAGTGGCCTTCTGCCGCTCGGCTGAGTCCTGCTCTCATGCTGACTCCGGCCTTGCTCCAAGTGTGGTTCGCAATCGTCTGGCTTCGGACAGCCTCAGCTGATGTCCACTTTCTTCCAGATTCGGCTGCCAGCCTTGCATCATTCCTGGCTTCTGATAACCTAGTTCGTGTCTGACCCCAGCTCTGCCTTTCCCAGGTCATAGGCTTTCTCCCGCTCACCCCTCTGGGGAGCTCACTGCGAACCCTGACGCTACCTCAGGCCCCGATCTCTCTCCCCAGGGCTCCAACGCAGTGGCCTCAGCTCTCGGGGCCTGCTTGCTGCTCCGGGTGCTGGCCCGCCTGGAGGCCGAAGCCGAGGAGGCGGCACGGAGGAAGGACCTGGCGGCCAAGTTTGAGGGGCTGGGTGTTGGTGCGTTGGGGGCCAGCGCCTGCGGGGGGGGGCTCCCTGTCTGCCCACCGCCCTGGCCTCTCCTGCGCCTCACCTGCGGCACCTCCACTCCTCCCTGTTCTCAAGTACTTGCACCGCCCCCAGGCCTCTTCGGGGAGTGCTACCGCAGCAGCGAGAACCGGGCCGCCCGCCTGCTTCTGAGGCGCTGCCCGCTCTGGGGGGACGCCACCTGCCTCCAGCTGGCCATGCAGGCCGACTCCCGTGCCTTCTTTGCCCAGGACGGGGTGCAGGTGAGCATCGAGACAATACCCCAGACGGCCCCACCCAGACCGGGGCCTGCGGAGCCAGCTGAGGGCATGCTGGGGGCCAGCCGAAGGCCTGGGCCTACAGAGGCCACGTCTGCCGGAGACACCCCATCCCCAGGAAAGTCAGCCGGGCGCTGCAAAGCCACCTCGAAGGCCTCTAGCCCGGGGTCGACCCAGCCAGTCCCGCCTTCCAAGTGGTAGTCCCCCTCCGGGCGAGGAAGCCCCTCTTTGGGGCGAGGAAGCCCCCCTCTGTCGAGGAAGCCCCCCCCGCCCCCCGTGGGGCGAGGAAATCCCGCCCCCTGTCTCGAGGGTTCCAGTACAGGAGCTTGGACATAGTCTGCTGCAGGAAATCCCGCCCTTCCGATAGGAAGTCCTCTCTGCTGGGGGGCCCTTCCTGCCCCCCTCCCTCCATCTCTCTTCCTGGCACTTGGGGAGCCTTCTCAGTGCCCTTAATCTAATCGTGGGGGGCACTAAGAGTTCCACCCCAGGAGAAGCCCTGCTTCCCCCACGGGCGGCCTGTTCTCACCTGATGGAGCTCGTGGGGCGCATTTCAGGTGGTGCCCAGAGTCCTTTGCTTTGAGTAGCAAATTGAGTCCAATGTGGGCTCCCTCCCTGGCCCCCCCACGCTACCCTGTGACTAGGGAGCACCTGCCCGCCCGCCGGACACATGTGGTGGGCTGGGAGCGCCGGCCTCGGAGGGGCCGCAGGCCTGGGGCACTGGGGTGTGACCTCTGCCTGCCGAGCCCTGCCCAGGGGCCCTCGACTCCTGCCCCCCGCACTTTGGCGCCCCGTTGTGCCTTGCTCTGTGCGCAGCAGGGGCCTAGGCCCTGCGGGGTGTCTGGGAGGCTGTGGGGAGGGCCACCCCTAACCCGCCCGCTCCACAGTCTCTGCTGACACAGAAGTGGTGGGGCGAGATGGACAGCACCACCCCCATCTGGGCCCTGGTTCTCGCCTTCTTCTGCCCCCCGCTCATCTACACCAACCTCATCACCTTCAGGTCAGTCCCGGGGCAGGTGGGGTCGGCTCCGTGGGTTTCTCCTTCCCGCTCACCCCATCTGGCCAGCGCCTCGCTCTCCTGTCAACTCTCCCTCCCCCAGACTGGGGCTGTGTACTGCGAGGGCAGCTTTTGGGGTGCTCTCTGTGGCTGTCGGGGGCAGTTCCTCGCCCGCGGCAGTGGCTCCAGAGGGCGCGGCCCCTGGCCCTGCCTCTGCTGGAGTTTGGGCTCTCAGCTGTGTGCGCGTCCACCCTCCTCCGCCACCCCAGGAAGTCAGATGAGGAGGCCATGCAGAAGGACCTGGAGTTTGACATGGACACAGCCATCAACGGGGAAGGGCCCGCTGGGTACGTGACCCCGAGCCCTGTGTGGGGGGCTTTCCGGGCGCGCCAGGGGCAGCGGGTGCCCTGAGCCAGGCCGGAGGCGGGCGAGGCCTCGGGACACAGCGATTTCCTGAAGTCACGGAAGACACCAAGAAGCTTCCCAACGGGGCTGAGGCTTAGTTCCAGTGTGGCGCGGCCTCAGGGAGGTCTCCGCCCGAGGCCCTTTTGTTTCTGGTGACGCACAGGCCTCTCAGGTGGCGGAGGGGCGGGGGTGCTGGTGGGTTTAGGGGTCCTTTGCCTGTCTCCGTTTTCTGACCCAGGGCCTTCCTCACTCTATACTACGGCACCCACAAAGGTGCTTTCAGAATCAGGCCAGGAGCATGAAAGAGCGTAATCACCCATCGTTCGGTAGTTTTGCAGCATGGAAGTGCTGAGGGAGTTAGTTGGCTCTGAATCTTGCGGGCCTGAGATCCAACCCTGACGTTTTTTTTTAAGATTCACTTACTTATACACACAGAACTGGGGTACAGGCAGAGGTGCAGGGGTTCAAGCGCAGCACTGTGAGGCTGTCCACAGCCCCTGCAGCACGTTTCGATCTCCGGCCAGGGAGTGACCCCCAGGGCGCAGCAGACCCCTCCTGTCTCCCCGCTGCTCCCCGCGGCAGTGGGTTTCAGTCAGTCTGCCTGTTCTGCTCCCCACTGTCTCTGGGGCGTCCTCACATTCTGCACCTCTGGCCTGTACCCCAGTTCTGAATGCAGAAGTAAAATGATTCTTCCGAAAAAGTATGAAATATTCATCAAGAGAACAGTAAGCCGAATTTCAGACGGCATCCGAGGCTGCGGCTGGGGACACTCCAGGGCTCCCTGGGGTCTCAGCAGCATGAAGCCCTGCGTCTCCCTGCAGGTGAAGCTGCCCAGCTGGCGGAGGGAGAGCTGGGCCTGGCCCAGACCTGTTCTTGAGTCTGCGTGCTC